GTAACTTGAGTATAAACATAAATATTCGTTCACGTGATGTTGTTTGGTTTGTTGTTAAGCCTAAAGAGCTACACAGTGGGCTAACTGTATTGTGTCCACCTCGGGTATCAATACCCGGTTTTTAACGCTTAAACCTTCAGACTTACCAATGGGAGCTAATTTTTGATTCTCTTTAGGAATTTTCCTCATTAGTCTGACGAGTGTATACTAGATTTTTCAAACTTTTACTATTGTGCATCAAAACCCTCGTTAAACAGGACCACCACTCATAATTATTCGCTCATACTTGTCTGTTTGTTTTTGAATTTCGCGCAAAGCTACACGAGGGCTATCTGCGCTAGCCGTCCCTAATTTAGCAGTGTAAGACTAGAGGGAAGGCAGCTAGTCATCACCACCCACCGCCAACTCTTGGGCTACTCTTCTACCAACGAATAGTTGGATTGACCGTCACATTATAACTCCCCCACGGCTGAAAGGGCGAGCATGTTTGGTGGGATGGGGATTCGAACCCGCAACCCTCAGATTGTGAGTCGAGCGCCTTATCCACCTGGCCATGCCGGGCCCCCCGCTCATACTTAAGGAAAAGTTCAGTATGTTTCAATTGTTCTTTTCTTTCATTTCATGGCGTTATAAAAAAAATATCTAAATAACCATGGGACGCAGAATAAAACAAGCTTTTCGAAGTGTTGGTTTCATTATCACATTTAGTGGCTTACTCAAACGTTTCTATAATTTCTGTATAATTCAAGAGATAAGAACACATTGTGGCTGAGGAATTGTGTTATTAATGACATATTCGGCATAGTATTAAAATTCACCATGTTGTTACATTTCGGATATGGAGTAACATTAAGTAATCATTTCTGTGGTGAGTGATGTTGACTAACTGCTGTCCCTCTAGTGTGTTACTTCAAAATTAAGGGCAGCTTGTGGAGATAGCCCTTGAGTAGCTTTGGACGAAATTCACCAAAACAACAAAAACTCATACAAGGCTAGATTAACATTTTCTACTATAATGAAGAATCAATAATTCATGCGCGTATAGACATGCGCAGTAGCTTTAAAGTAATTAATTGTTACAGCGCCCTCTTTCGTTTAACAAGGCAGTAATATTCTTTATCTTAGTTTGATCCTCTGGAAATAAATGTTTTTTTTCTAAATTGTTACACAAACAGTATCTAACGATTATAACTTAATGCCTTCTTTTGAATAGAAAACTATAAGTAACTGTTTTGCACTCGATACATTTTTTATTCGAATCACTAAATTATAGACGTGTATGTACATATGTTCATCTCTGCCTTCCTGTAGCTCCACGCATAGTTCGAGGGTTTATAACAAAATTCAAAGTATAATCCTATGATGGGAACATCGCTTTTTGTTGTTGTTGTTCGTTTGCTTTTAATAGGAAAGCTACGCAATAGGTTTTCTGCGCTATGTTGACCATCTGGAATCGAACCCTAAATTTTAACGTTGTGTGTCCGTGAACTTACTGCTGACCTGCCGGGGGACTATAGCACAGAGAGAGTCCATTCTGTGTTTTTGCGTTTATTAAAAACCACGAACAATTCATCTCCAATATTTCTGTCATCCAAGTTCACTTCATTCCTCGAGGTTTATGTTTTTTCTTATATTGACCTTCAGATGGGAATCTCTATAAATTGGTGAATTTAATATTCATAATAAACGTTTAACAGGTCATGTGGATGTGTCCTTGCACGTGTGAGGAAATGTCATTGAATAATGATGTTATAATAAGTATAACAATAGCACCCGGCATGGCCAGGTGGTTAGAGCACTCGACTCGCAATCTGAGGGTCACGGGTTCGAATCCCCTTCCCACCAAATATGCTCGCCCTTTCAGCCGTGGGGGCGTTATAAGTGAAGGTCAATCCCACCATTCGTTGGTACAAGAGTAGCCCAAGAGATGGCGGTGGGTGGTGATGACTAGCTGCCTTCCCTCTAGTCTTACACTGCTAAATTAGGGACAGCTAGCGCAGATAACCCTCCTGTAGCTTTGCGCGAAATTAAAAAAAACAAAACAAATAAACAAACAACAATAAGTATAGGTGAAAAAATATTATCAGTTATGGAAATAATTGTTTACACTGCAGGAGAAGCCTAAGGGTAGCTTACCAAGGGTGTGTAGGAGTCAAACTCTTGTACTTTAACCTAATTAACTTTCCAAATCCAAAAGAAAGGAGAGAGGGGAGATAGTAAAGATTGGTTGATGGCTTTAACATTTTTGGACAGCTCTATCGGAATCTTTACTAAGTGAGCATCAGCTGATTCGATGTGATTTAAAAAAAAAAGATCCCCAGTAAGACGTAAGTTCGTCAAGGCAAGTATGGCACTGAGTGTCCGAAAAAAAGGATATCCAGTAAGACGTAAGTTCGTCAAGACAAGTAGGGCACTGAGTGTCCGAAAAAAAGGATCTCCAGTAAGACGTAAGTTCGTCAAGGCAAGTATGGCACTGAGTGTCCGAAAAAAAAAAGAATATCCAGTAAGACGTAAGTTCGTCAAGACAAGTAGGGCACTGAGTGTCCGTAATGAAAAAAAAATGGATTGTTACAGCACGTGTTAAAAAATATTGTTGCTTGTTGGATTTCATGCAAAGTCATTCAAGGGCTATCTGGGTTAACCCTTACTAATTTTGAAGCAAAATAATAGGAGTGAAAACTGCTAGTAAACACCACCAACCGGCAACTCTGGTCAAACCGAATAGTGGGATTTAACCATCACTTTTTAGCCGCGGCATATCAGCTCATAGAATAGCTCCGAGTTTTTCTCAAGTACAAACTTTTAGCTCATAACTCCATTTTTTGACCGATTTGAGATCTAATTACAACCGCGGTTTTTCAGGATTCATTCTTGTTTTCTTTCAGCTCCACCGTCCGACACGCTAATCTCTAGGCCTGCTCGACATGTAAAAAGCATTAAAGTCTATTATTAAGTAAGACTTACTTACTACAATGAAATGTGAATACTGAAACCTGCCTCAGTTACACAGTGATATTTTGAACATGCACAGTTTTTTTTTATCTCCATCTAACAATAATTATTGTAGTGAGGTCGGAGTCATGTCTCTAATAAGAACTATATATATACAGCAATTAAGTTAGTTTAATAATTTTAAACTCACGCTTTATTTTTCTTATCTGTGCATGCACATCTAGGAATTAAAAAGTATAAAAGCTTAAGTGTGGCATACGAACTACAAATTATTTTTATTTGTTTAGAATTTTCTTGTAAAATTATAAAACCACTGTGTTGTATCCACCAGGGGTGTCAAAAACCGATTTCCAGTGTCATAAGCCTTCAGACTTTCCGATGAGCCATTGGGTTCCAGAAGTAATGAAGATAACCGATATGACATATTATGACTGGTAGCTCTCAAAAGCTGTTGTATAACTTTACGGAATAGAAGACCCTATATATATATACATAAAGGAGGGGATCCTCCTAGAGACATTGAGAAACGGGTTCTGATAGCCATTGTATGTTCTCGCACAACATAGCGAATCGTTGTTCGCTATTAAATACTATTTTTCTGATATAAAATATTTCAGTTGAAACCCGTTAGACGGAGAGTAAAACATTGACGAAAGCAGAATTATAACTCAAGTCAATCTATATACTATTAAAACTCTGAGATTGTTTGTTTGTGGGCTTGTTTGTAATTAAATCAAAAAACGGCGCACAATAGCGCCATATTTGTAATGATATGACAATAGAAATGAGAATAGAAACAGAATAAAACAAGATTCGGTTACCGGGTTAGCCCCGTTTTTCGGATCACTTTTCGTATATTCCATTATTACAAAACTTCGTTTATACAACAACATATGCACAACAGAAATTAAATGATGAGATGAAAATGTGTTATAACGACGCGTAGAAAGAAGAACAATAAAATGGACCTATAATATTATTGACTATTTGCAAATAGTAACTATGGAGACGAGGTAATAAAATAAAAATCAAGTCGAGAACAACAACAAAATTTTATAAACAAAAACCTCTCGCCGAGCATTGGCTATTATATTATTTCCCTGTCAATGTTCCCATCTTCATTAAAAGGCGGATAGATTCTTCAAGATCTTGTTTTTGTCATCTTATTATATACTACTAAAACTCTGAGATTGTTTGTTTGTTTGCTTATTTTCTCAGTCAAAAAATCATTCACACTACTGTTCGCGCTTTTTACGAAACTTCTTATTTCACTGTTTTGAAAAATGAAATGGTCTTTCCTTTTACTCCCGATCAGCAATCAAATATCTTTTCTTGAATTATGAACAACACGAATCGATTGAAATATTTAATTAAATTATATCAAAATTAAACTTCATTTCGGTGCAATATTGAAATTAGCTTGAATTCTTCATAACTTCATAGCGAGTCACGGTAGTTTAGTAACTGTTAAAATTGTTCTAGAAACATAGATTAATGTGTTTTTTCATGTTAAATTAATGTGTGGCACAAAGAAAATTGTGTTATCCAATAGGTTAACTCTGACAGAAATAAGAAAATACAGATACTATTTTTGGAGCCTAGATTAACGTGTTTTTTCTTGTCAAATTAAGATAATGTGTGGAGCAGAGAAAACTGTGTTATCCATGAGGTTATCTCTGACAGAAACCATAAAATACAGATACTACTCTTGAAGCCTCGATTAATGTGTTTTTTCATGTTAAATTAATGTGTGGCACAGAGAAAACTGTGTTATCCAATAGGTTATTTCTGACAGAAATAAGAAAATATAGATACTACTCTTGAAGCCTAGATTAACGTGTTTTTTCATGTTAAATTAAGATAATTTGTATTACGGTGTTATCCGTGAGGTTAGAGTTCATAATGATGGTTTCCTTAATTCTCTAAGTACTAATAGATTATAATATACGTGACGTTTTTAAGTAAGTTTTATTTACAAAATACACCATACTTCAAGTACATTTATTTGTTTATTTTCCTAAACTTTAGGAGTTTTTCCAGATTTTTTTTATTGATAAAAAAACAAAGAAAAGTTTAAACAGTGATATGTCACTATACGAACTTTTTCCAGTAATTTTACACAAAGGGATGGATTTTCATGATTCGACCAATCATAGGAGGCTCACGTCATTTACGTAATGTTTAGTTTTACCCACGTTATACAAAGGGATGGATTTTCATAATTCGACCAATCATCGGAGGCCCACGTCACTTACGTAATGTTGTTAAAACGTAAAGAATTTTGTAATGAAAATTATAATACCAATAATAATAAATATTTCAAGTTTTGCCCATGGAAACAGGTCCATCCTCTGAAAAACAAAATACAAGCCGAACTCCATTAGCTTTCAATAACTTATATGGATAATTGACACGAGTAGAAACAAACATTCAGAATACAATGAAATGTCAAAAAGTGAAACATAGATAAACACCGATTCCTTCGCACGGAGACCAATTCCCCCCCCCCCCATGTCTTGTACTTTAGAAGAGATCGAAATTCTCCTTCAAAATTGAGCATGAATTTAGGTAAAAAAATACAATCACGTGGTTTATGTTTCGCTTCCTAGAGTGTTTGGGGACTTTAATTGCAATCAATAACACATACAATAACCAAGTCCATTTATACATCAAATGTCACTACCACAGCACTCGCCTTACGACAACCAATATTACTCACCCGAGGGCTTAAGCAAACAATAAAATTAATTATCACAGTGCTTACTATGTTAGTGACAAAAATACTGGATTGTGTTGGGAGTTTCCTCCTAATGCTACAGGGTGGTCTATTGCGAGTTCTGTTCAGTCACTGTGGAACTAAAGGGACTGATATCTGTGTACAAAAAAACGGGTTTTTCCACCCACATATAACTATCACAAGAATCACAACGAACACTGGTGTTACATCACATAGGGCCTCTCTCTCTGCTGCGGGTCATGTACACAAGGTCCTGGAATCAAAGACAGGCCTGATATCACCATACGATCCACTTTCTTCTACACTGTGGAACACTGGAATGTTCGATTTTGGCACAGGATGTTTCTCGGATTTATCCAAGTTGCAGATTGGATCGTCCTGCGCACGACTAGTTTGATCACAACGGTTTCGATTTCCATCTATAGTAAAAAGTCCTTTGTCATCGATAGAAGAATAAACATTCTCACGTGCTGGAGGGGTGGGGGGCCTCCCTCTGCCTAGTGGATGAAAAGTACGGAATTCTAATGGACTAATATCTACGTGGTTTCCAAACCCGGGATCTAGGGGATACGGATGTTCAGGAACAATGGTAAAGACAGGTCCATGGTAATTGTGATCTTCTGACTGGATTTCTTTACCATTCAGTTGTGACAACAAACTTTCTGGTAGTAGATCTGATCTTTGAGTTGTCGCGTGAGGGTTGTAGACGGATGGTAAGGTTCCAGTTCCTAGCCCAGCTGGGTATGGAGGGGGCGGTGGAGAGTGAGCGTGTAACAGGACAGGTGATCCCACCGCAGTGAAGTAAAACCCGGGAACCCTTCCCTCTTCCAGGTTTGAAGCTCCACGCGGACTGTGATGACCAACAAACTGGTGAGGTGTTAGATCTATACCTGTCATACCATCAAGTGGGATTGTGGTGTTAGGGTAAGCCAAGTCGGGCCCCAGCATGTTCTTTCCTTTGTAATAGTTCTGTTTCTTTTCAAATCCCTCACTAGGAAATCCATCTTTGTTTCGTTCCAAAAATTGGGAATTGTGGTTTCGTCCCTCAGCGCCATCATTACAAAACAATCGTTGGATCTCTTTATTTTCAACACTAGATGTAGATTCCATGTCGCGACAAAGGTCTCCTCCCGTAGACCCCAGAAGGCTATTAGTACCAGAACATGAGTGACTAGGTTGTCGGGGAAATTCCCCCAAGCTCAACTCATCTTCAGCAAATTCATCATCACTAGCCACAGTACGAGGTTCTATCTCACTGTCATCAATGTCCGAATCATACGTTCGAAGCCCACCTGAGTTGAATTGTTCTTTACTCTTAACTGACCGTAACCTATCGGCTTCTTTACCAGAGAAGGAGAAGTTTGTGTGGCTCACGTGTTGACGCCCATATCGCCCGAACTTCACGTCAAACAGCTGAAAAAAAAACAAAAAAACGTGGGTTGAGACAAGCAATAGTGAAAAAAAAACAACCTATTAACGTTTTATGAAAAAATGCATTGAAGTAATAACTAAAAGAGGCCTGTTGCTTTAGTTAGAAAAATTCAAAACCAAATCAATGGCTAGGAAATCATATTTTTCATACTTTCGACTTAAGTACTGAGATAAGCGCCAGTCTTCATCCTTTTAAAACAATCCTGTTGCTTTAGATAGAAAAATTCTAAACCAAATCAATGGCTAGGAAATCATATTTTTCATACTTTCGACTTAAGTACTGAGACAAGCGCCAGTCTTCATCCTTTTAAAACAATCCTGTTGCTTTAGATAGAAAAATTCAAAACCAAATCAATGGCTAGGAAATCATATTTTTCATACTTTCGACTTAAGTACTGAGACAAGCGCCAGTCTTCATCCTTTTAAAACAATCGTTAGCAGAACATTAACCTATTGTTTCGTCTACTAGTCACTATGTATTCCTCTAGGATTATCTCGGAACTTCATGTGTTCAAAAGGAAACAGTTAACCAACCTCAATGGGCGTGAGTGTCTGGACACTGGGTCCACGTTGATCGGGCAGTCTTGTCGGGTGGTGATTGATTATCATGTCATCATAAGTAATTCTGCTTGAGCTACTGACGTCACACCTGGTCTGGTGGTCACTCTTACAAGGAAGAAAGTTCTGGACCTTCCTCTTGTGCCTACAAAGAAAATAAATCAAAATTTTAAATAAGTACATTAAAAAGATCTCAAAGTGAAGAGAAACGGACAGTGTCCAGTGTAAATTCTTTATTTTACCAACGTTTCACATTAACACATTACCATTAGGTAGACATCTTGCTAAACACAAACAAACCCAATCTGGGTTTGTGTTCAGTAGGGTGTCTACCTAATGGTAATGTCTGATCAAGTAAAGAATTTTCACTGAATACTGTCTGTTTCTCTTGATTAAACATGTTTAAACTCGAGTGTGTGTTGCACTATCTGAACTCTTCGTTAAACATGTTTAAACTCGAGTGTGTATTGAATTATCTGAACTCTTCAAGATCTCATTAGAGCCGCGTGGACTTCAAATCAACCATATATACGTATTGTCATTCTTATCTTACGTGTAGTCACTTGTGAAATAATATGAAAAAAGACGGAAGAGATCAGAGACGAAAAAATAATATTAAAACGAAGGACGTCAGATAACCTTAAGGAAATACTATCCCGCGAGCTATGAACAAGCACAAACATTACCGAAGCAACCTGTATTTATCAGTTAAGATAGCAGGTTGTCCAAAAACACTTCTTTTTTTTTTGTCTTTCAAAAACTTTTAATATTGTGGATCAGAAGGTTAGAATAGAAGAAAGACACAAGTTACAACCAGGGACTGAAACACGAAACCAGTTCTAACCTGATCAGGTTAGCCTACAACTGTGAACTACAAGGTACCGTCTCTCTCTTTGTTTAGCTGTATTTTAATCAGTGTATTTCAAGTGGAATGGAAACAAACTTTTAACTCTCTCACATTCTCAGCCAAAGTGCAGCACGATAGAAGCTTTTTTTTTACTCTGAAAACTTATTCCAGCTTGAGATCATCAAGAAATATTTTCCAGTTTGTAGTTGCTGTAGTGCAAACTGGAGTGTTTTCGACATGCCTGAGAAATTGAAACTCTCTGTGTGTTTCTCAAGTACACCACTACATGTTTCACGTTTTAATCTGTACCACCACATGCCTCACGTTTTAATCTGTACCACCACATGCTTCACGTTTTAATCTGTACCACCACATGCTTTACGTTTTAACCTGTTCCGCCACAATCTTCATGTTTTAATATGTACGCCACAAGCTTCATGTTTTAATCTGTTCCACCACAAGCTTCATGTTTTAATCTGTTCCACCACAAGCTTCATGTTTTAAACTGTACCACCACATGGTTCACGTCTAAATCTGTACCACCACAAGCTTCACGTTTTAATCTGTTCCACCACAAGCTTCATGTTTTAAACTGTACCACCACAAGCTTCATGTTTTAATCTGTACCACCACAAGCTTCACGTTTTAATCTGTACCACCACAAGCTTCGTGTTTTAAACTGTACCACCACAAGCTTCACGTTTTAATATGTACCACCATACGTTTCACGTTCTAAACTGTACAACCTCGAGTTTCATATGTTAGTTGTGTGACACATTTAACATATTTTATACTGCTCCACCCAAGAGAAACAAACTCCGAGTATTAATATTAGCTATAAATCTAAATACTGTCAATGTCTATCTCTGTATGTAAAACAAGAGGTGGTGTATGTGTTCTAAATGTGTGAATAAACAATCCAAATCCAACTGTCTCAGCTGATCATGATGCTTTGTTTTTCTATACACGCTATAAATCTAAATACTGTCAATGTCTATCTCTGTATGTAAAACAAGAGGTGGTGTATGTGTCCATGTTTTAAATGTGTGAATAAACAATCCAAATCCAACTGTCTCGGCTGATCATGATGCTTTGTTTTTCTATACACGCTATAAATCTAAATACTGTCAATGTCTATCTCTGTATGTAAAACAAGAGGTGGTGTATGTGTCCATGTTCTAAATGTGTGAATAAACAATCCAAATCCAACTGTCTCGGCTGATCATGATGTTTTTCTATACACGTTGTCGACTTCCGAACACTGCTGAACTGTAGTACATGTATGAGAAAAACATGCTACCTCTACCAGGTTGGCATGTCCTTGTTAAAAACATGTCAAACAAGAAGGTTTTCGTTAACTTTGAAAGTTTGACACCAGAAGAGCCTGATCTTCATCGTTCTACATCTACACCACATGTTTCTATGAGTACAGTTTACTAAGTCTGGTTCTTTCCCTGCTGATTTTTCTATGAGTACAGTTTACTAAGTCTGGTCCCCAGAGAGCCTGATCTTCATCGTTCTACATCTACACCACATGTTTCTAGGAGTACAGTTTACTAAGTCTGGTTCCCCAGAGAGCCTGATCTTCATCGTGTTACATCTACACCACATGTTTCTAGGAG